GAAGAGCTGAAGGAAGTTGGGCGGTCTCGGGTGCTCAGCTTTGTGGCACACTATGACACCCCACAGAGCCCGGAGGATCTTGGTTTTGACATGGGTGCATTTGAGTTTGGTTCGCATGGACTCAAAGCTGCAGTGCATGAAGACTTGGCCTTACCAGAGGCTGAGGATGAAGCCGATGACTTTGAGGGTGCAGAGGTACCTATGGCCATCGGAGAATTTGAAGGTGGAGCTGATCTTGATGATCAAGAAGTGAGGTTTGAGGTCGGCATTCCCATTCCCGACCGAATTCGAGTGAACGACATTGAACTCACAGCAGAAAGCCCCTTGAGGGCACTCCGAGCAGCATGCGCATTCTATAAAATCGGGCAGAGTGGAGGAAAGACCAGATGCTTCAAGAGGTTGGTGGAGCATCAAGGTACTATGGAGTTGATGAGGGCTAGAGATTTGACCAGGAGTGCAGAGGCAGCTCTAGCCAGAAGACCAGTTGAGCAAGTGATCGCCAAGGCCCCAAGCAAAGAGGAGCAGAGGTTGCATGACCTCACACACCTTCCATACGCAGCCTGGTGTGAATGCTGCGTGAAACACCGAGCGCGGCCGGACCAGCACAGAAGATTTGGGCAGGCTCGAGAAGCAGGGCCAGCTATCTCGTTCGACTTTGCGTTCACGCATGCCACCGGAATCGGACCCCTGGGATCACCGGAGGAGGGTGATGGTGCTCAGACAGGGGTGGCTGATGATGAGTCTGGTGCACTATGGCTGATTGCTGTCTGTGCCGAAACAGGCTATGTGTTGGGTTTGCCATTGAAGGCAAAGTCGCAATTGAACCTCATTGCTCACGAGTTACTCTCCTTCACTCAAGTTCTTGGCCATGAGGAGGTCACTTACTACTCGGACAATGAGCCCACACTGAGGCAAGTGTCCCGCCTCTTGGTTCAGGCGAGAGGAGCAATGGGATTGAAAACGAAAATGAGAACAACCAAGATTTATGATCACGCAGGCAATTCCTTGGTGGAGAACGCAGTCCAAAGAGTTCGGTCCGTAGCAGCAACCTTGATGGAGAACATAGCAAAACACACTGGATTGCGCTTCAATGGTCAGCATCCTTTGTGGACATGGGCATGTCGACATAGTGCATGGCTTCTCAACAGGTACCAACCAGTGCAGGGAGCAACAAGTTATGAGCTGGTGCATGGGAGACCCTACAAGGGAAAGCTTTGCCAGTATGGGGAGGTTGTCTTCGCCTACACCAAACCAAAGCAAGGATTCAAAGCTGATCCACGCTGGAAAGTTGGAATCTGCTTGGGAAAGAGCGAAGTCCAAGACGCCTGGGTCATTGGTGATGGATCCAGAGTTTTCCTGAGCAAGTCAGTGCGTCGAGTTGAGGACTCCTGGCAAAGGTATCTTCCATGCTTCAAGGGCTTCGCAGCTTACAGCTGGGAATACCAGACGAACTTTGGTGGAAGAATTGTGCCATCAAAGAGGTTGGTTTCGCTTGAAGGACCAAAGGTGAGCCTTACACTTCCCGGAACCCTGGACGTGTTAGAAGGAGACCAAGAAGCTCAAGAGGTGCTCGCCTACTCGAGGTCCTACGCAGGAAAGCTTGAAGCACAGAGAGAAGTAGAGGATAGAGAGGAGAAGACCCAACAGGAGACAGCCGAGCAGGAGGAGATGCTGAAGCTAGCAGAAGACAAGAGGAGTAGCTTGGTGGAGGAACAAGGGTTGAATCTCCCAACGGTGGTAGCCCCAAGCGTGGACATTCCCCTAGCCTTAGTGGTTGATGAGGAGAAGAACCAGTTGGGGCCATCGAGGCCGAGTGCATTCTCTCTGCTAGAATCACCATCAACACCAAGATCTACAGCTCAGAAGGTTGGACAACCGGCAGAGAGCCCAGTGCCAGAAGCCAAGAAGTTGAAACCTACAGTGGAGAAAGTGACACATGGACACGAAGGAGTTGATCCTGATCCGAAGAGAGCAAAACAAGAGCCAGAAGTTCACCATGAGAGAAGGGTGTCAGCAACACAGGTTGGAGGTGACATCTTTTACCATATGGATTCAATCATTGGTGAGGAGATAGTTGCATGGCAAGACGAGGCTGATGAACAGGCCGTTGATGAACTGCCTGAGGCCCTGTGGTCTAAAGCTCCTTTAGATCGAGTACCACCAGAACCACCCAAGTGGATAGAGGACATCGCTGATGCTGTGGAAGAAGCAAGACTTCAGAAGTTGGGAGTGTTGAGCAAGATGGACGAGCTGCAGGCAAGTCACAAGACGCTGACAACCCGGTTCGTAAGGGACTGGAGAGCAAAGCGTCGAGACAAAGAAGGAAATGGCCCAAAGCAGTGGTTGAGGAGGTCTAGACTTGTGGCACGTGAATATGCCACAGACAAGAGGGATGACATCCATGCTCCTGCGACAGGCGGACAAGCTTTGCGTCTGCTTCCTCTCCTATACCTTGGGAAGAAGGCGGAGGAGACATTAGGAGGAGAAAAGACAATCTTGGGAAGCCTGGACGTGAAGGATGCATTCCTACAAGTCAAGCAAGAGGTTCCAACCCAAGTGACAACAGCCACAGGCCACTTCGAAGTCCTGAGGAATTTGCCGGGACAGCGGATTGGTGCAAAGGCTTGGTTTGACCATCTGACAGAATGGCTGAAGAGCAATAGTTGCAGATTCTGCCCAGAGAACCCATGTCTTGGCAAGTCATCTTCCATGTGTGTCCTCATCCATGTCGATGACATCATGTTTGTGGGCAACAAGGATTATGTGTTGAATGAATTCATTCCAGAGATGAAGAGAGTCTTTGACATTTCGGAACAACACCTTGAGGAAGACGGAAGTAGTTTCCAATTCTTGAGGAGGACCTATTAGAAAGTGGAGAATGGCCTGAAGGTTCACCCTGGAAAATACGCCGAGAGCATGGTGGAGGCATATGAAGGCAAGTTGGGAAAAGCCAAGGTTCAGAAACTTCCTTGCGGCCCTGAGATCCAAGAGCCAGACGGAACGACACTCCTTGACTATGAGCTCGCAGGTCTTTACAGATCTTTGGTAGGTTGTGGAATCTACCTGTCTCAGGACCGGCTAGACGTGTCCTATACGGTGAAGGAGTTGGCTTCCACTATGTCCTGTCCTACAGCAGCAAGTTTGAAGAAGCTTGGCAAGTTGATTGGATACTTGAAGCGCACTATGGGCCAACATCGTTTGCTGGAGTTGAAGGAAGCTGGACATGGACTGGTGCATCAGAGCTTTGAAACACGCTGGATCTTAGAGACATTCTCGGACAGCGATTGGTCAGGAGCAAAAGGGCACCGACGTTCCACAAGTTCAGCAATTCACATGGTCAATGGAGTGGCGGTAGCCTCATCCTCACGCGGACAGAAGTCAGTTAGCCTTAGTTCAGCGGAGGCCGAATTGAATGCCCTAGTCAGCAGCGCGGCTGATGGCAGTTACCTTCGAAGGTGCCTGGAGTTCCTGGTAGAGGAGACGGTTGAGCATTGCTGCATGGTGGACAACTCAGCAGCGCTACATCTTTGTCATCGAAAAGGACCAGGCAAGCTGAGGCATGTTTCAGGCAAACTTTTGTGGATTCAAGATGCTGTGCTACAGGAACAGCTGAAGGTGATGCCAGTCGGGACAGTGAAGAACGTGGCTGATCTTGGCACAAAACCGCTGTCAAAGAACCGCATCAATTTGATCCTGAACTGGCGCAGTGTCTACGATGGATGTGGAGAGAGGATCGGCCAGGAGGAGCGTGAGAGAAGTGAGAATGAAGTGGTCAGCAAGTCGAAGATCAACAAGTTGGCCAAGTTGCTCAATCGCATTTTGCTGTTGGAGGGTCTTGGGCAAGTGGCTGGAGAGAAGAGTGATTCAGAAGGCCAGTGCACCTCAGTGCCTGAGACAATGGCCAGACCTACTACACCATGGACTATGGTGGTGATCATGATCTTCCTGGTGATGATCGTTGGCGGCTTGATCTTTGCAACCTATAAGGTGTGGAAGAAGCTCCAGAAAGTCTTGGAGGATCTTGAAGAGATGAAGGAAGCCCAGAGAGTGGACGGAATGATGATTGATGCTTTCGAGCATGAGAGAAAGGAGGAAACAGCAGCCTTGGGAAGCTTGATTCAAAAGATCCACCATGGCCTGGTCAAGGCCAACGGCTATGTGGATGAAGATGAATTTGAAGATGGAGAATGGCAGCATTGGGACTACATCCAGAAGTCCAACCGAAAGCTTGATTTCCTGAAGTTGAAGCAGGAAGCTCAGGCTTATCTACTCCATGAGATTGAGAAGAAACAGACAGAGACTTCGGAAGAGCAAACTGATGCTGCAATGTCAGAAGGTGAAGAACTCCAACCAGGTGAGACGGCAACAGTGAGATTAGAGAGTGGAGAAGTTGTGGACATTCCTATGGAGTATCTTGAACCTCGAGAGCCCGAAAGTGAAGTAGATGAAGACGATGGCATGACTGCTCGCGAGCAAAGTGAGAGGCGCACGATAGAGGGTGTAACGCATGACAGGCCAATGACCTATGATGCCAAAAAGGCATGGACCATGAACCTCACCTTCCAAGAGCTGGGAGATTTGAATGCACCAGCCGGGAGGTCAGGAATGAGGGCCAAGAAGCATTTGCAGGCCCTGGAAACAAGGTGGTGGGATAACCAGGAAGGAAAGCGAAACATTGAGAACCCGAAGATCTTTAGTGAAATGGAGAAACACTACCCCTTCCTGGATAGCCCATGCCTGAGGTTCTAAAGTGGTGGTGGAAGGCACGAATGCTAAGCCTCCATCACCAAGGAGGAGTGGAAAAACAAATCCATTCCACCTACATGTAACCGAAGACCCCTTTACAGCCCGGTTCAAAAAGGCTCGCAGTAACAAGAAGCTACTAGGAACAAGGGCATTGCTACTGGTAACAAAGGGCATTACTACTAGTAGCATTCTTACTGCTACTAGTAACAAGATTGAAAGCTGTGCATCACTTGCGTGTCAGCTTGACGCGCCAGGCACGTGACCCCTGAGGGTGACGTGAAAGGTCTTCATAGAGATGGTTCCAAGATCCGAGATCGCATACAGGAGGGGCGGAATGGGCCAGAATGGGCCGGAGGGGCCAAACCAAAGCTGCACCTTGTACGCTTGTAAAGAAGCACTTGATTGGACTTGTTTAGACATAAGGGACACACTTTTCAAGCTCATCCAGCAATAGCATCCATTCCAGCTTGGCCAGGTGACGGAAGAAGACAAGCTGCAAATTGGGTCTGGAGCCACACAGCAGAGTGATAAACATATGGGTGTGCGTGCTTTAAATCGGGAGACGCAGCGACGAAAAATGCGACGAAGCGATCGATCATGTCATGTAGAGGCCCTTCCGCCTGGACGAAGAGCGTCAATGCAGCTGCATTCATTGGAACCGGAAGGCCTCGCAGCCGGTTCTTCCTCGCAGCCTCTGGTTGGCTTCTTTTTATTTGCAATTAAGGTTCCTTTTGCTCTTAGGTTGGAGGCCATGGCTCTTAGGTTAGGAGGCCATCGCTCTTAGGCTGGAGGCCATCACTCTTAGGTTGGAGGCCATCGCAGCCCGCGCCTATTTATCCAGTCTGCGCCTATTCAGTGGTGACGACGTGTGGCCACTTTTGAGATCCATCCCCTTTCATTCATTTTGCTACAGCTGATCCAAGTGTATCTTGGCATACGTGTTGAAACAGCTGACAGGCAGGTTCCAAACGGCAATTGATTGTGTTTAAATTTGAAGTCCAAGACTTTCTCTTTGGACCTGAGCTCGTGTCAAAGTAGGCGATCAAGCAAAATCTGGCCTGGCATATTTGTACAAATTTGATGAACATGGAAGCATAACATCGATCCTTAAGCAGGAGCAGATGTAGGACATGCATGCCTGCACAATTGCAGTCCAAGCCATTTTCTACAAGCGACTGCCTTGCAAAGCTGCATCCTGCAGGCCACTAAAAAGCCACGCAAAAGAAACACTATCAACATGACCTCCCAGTCAAACACAAGTCCAGACAAATCCTGAAAATGCCAGACCCTTTTGAATTCTTAGCCAGCAAGGCAAAGGTTATTTGTGCAATGCACAAGACATCCTTGCACGCACAAGTTCCTCTCTCACACTTTGTAAGAATTGTACTGATGATGTCGAATGCATGTTGACAGGGTCGTGCTCCAGCTTTTCAGAACATGCTCCATCTGCTTTCTCTTCAGCAAACCCCGAGAGCCACGGCAGGATGATCCCGAAAAGACGTGGAATTGGTCAAGGCAAGTTTCGGAGTCGACGGAGGACCGTGGAACATGATCGCATTTGGCAGGGATAATTCCTTGCGAACAAGGGTGCGGTTGGCGACAGGTGAGAGAGCTTAGGTAGCTACCGAATGAATGGGAGCCGGGAACCTGCGACCCGCTCGAGTTCCAGTTAATGCTGGCATCAAAGGTGCAGTAATGAGCCTCCTCGGTGCTGCAACCCACAAGAATCAAACTTGACATTGAGATACATTGAGTACTATGGACACACAGGAAGTATAACGAAGTACTGTATACGACTTTTTGACCTTGTTTGTATTTGTGTTGCAGTACCGCATCCTTTGGCAAGAATGTGGGGTGTCTTGTGCAAAGTAGTGTGAACTCCCTGAGACTGGTAGGTAGGTTTCTCATGTTCCGATAAATGTCCGTTCAGCAAATCTGGTCAAGACCTAGTGTGCTTTGTGCGGGAGATCTGCATCTCGCACAAGTTGCAATTTGCGGCGTTCATTGGCGAACCAGGAGGTCACCAGTTGGACTTTGTCCAACAGAAATACACTTCCCAATTGAGTGACAGCGAGATGTGCATGCTGCAATGCTCACTTGTAGCCTTTCCTCCAGTTGACAAGCAAATACTTTGGGCTGCAAAGGCACTTTTGCTTAAGAGGTGAGGTATGTGTCTCCCATTTGATCTATCAAGTTCGACTAGCAGAGGAGATTTCCAAGAAAAGACCAAAAGAAGGTAGCCATCGCTACTAGGGTGGACTTCCTCTCATTCAGCCGGTCCTTTTCGCTCCATGGCGATGCTTGAGAAGCCACGCGTGGAAGACCGAGCGAACATTGGCCGCTTGAGCGGACCAAGCGCATGAGTTGAGCAAGACAGGGACGTCGCTGTTGGGCACTGAGGCCACAGGCTATGCCGAGCCCCCTCGAGCCGTTGGAAGCCAAGAGGGACAGCTGGAAGAGTCTTTTGGGATGGTTACATTGGGACTTTCATGCGGAGACATAGCTGTGAGAAACGGTTGCTGGAATTTCGATGGAGTTTTGGAAGCGGGATAGATTTGGTTTTGCTTGTATGATCACTTCAGAGCGCGGATTTGGAGGCCTGGTTCAGGTAGTCTTCAAGTCGCCATCGTTCTTGTTAGGATTGTTCTCATCAAATCTTTTCCAAATGGATCAAGAAGACAAATACAGCATGAGTATCATGAGTACAGTGAGTACAGAAGCAACATGAAATCAAGCGACAAGCCCCTTTGGCAAGGACCTCAATCATCAGATTACAACAGGTTGTAGTTCTTGCACAAATTGCTGGGAACTTCGGGAAAGCTATATGGGTGTGTAATTTAATAGGGAGAACCCCTGCCCCGATGCAATGTGTACATTGGTCTATTTTCCTTCTTACAGGGGGTCAAACTGGGAGGTCATCCGAATACTTACCCATAGTAGCGATGCCCTTGCTCCTAGTAGCTTCTTGCTCCTAGTAGTACTGCCACCCACCCCTAGCAGCGTCCTTGCTCCTAGTAGCGATGCCCTTGCTCCTAGCAGCTTCTTGCTCCTAGTGTGACTCATGACTCTTGCTCTTCTTTGGCTTCTTGGCCTTGTGGCATTCTTTTCTCGGCTCATAGCTTGCATTAGCACCAATATTGTGCTGTTGCTGAGGAACCGCCTGCTGCGCTGGAGCCATCCGCTCCTATTGAGCCATCCGCTCCTATTGAGCCATCGGCTCCATCAGCTCCACTAGTCGCAGTCTTGGTAGAGCACGTTTGACTTTGTAGGAGCCCTGCAAAAACTAGACATTTGAGATCATTTGAGTACTCTTCAACCAGAGTCAGCCACTTCCAGCTTTCAATCCTTCACAAAACATGCTCTATTTGGAGGCCGTCGCTAGTAATTAGGAGCAAAAGCCATCGCTAGTAGCTTGGAGGCCATGGCTTTTGGCTTGGAGGCCATCGCTATTAGGTTGGAGGCCATTGCTAGTAGGTTGGAGGCCGTCGCTATTAGGCCAGAGTGAGCCGCTTCCTTCACGTTGAATTTTCTGAGTCAAGGCTGAGGAGGCAGCGCCCGCCGTGGCTCCCGCAGTCTCTCGATGGCACCGGAGGCCGTCGTCCGAGCCGCAGACAGCGACTTGTTCGATTCGCTGAGGCACCGAGGCGGGGCACCACCCTGACCTCCCAGGACATTGGATGCATTACTTGTTTCTAGTAGCTTCTTTGCTACTAGTAGTAAGGCACTTGTTACTAGAAGCGATGCACATGTTACTAGTAGCTTCTTGTTTCTAGTAGCTTCTTTGCTACTAGTAG